ACAACCGGACCATCGAGGGCTCGGGCTCGCGGGGAAGGTCGCGAGCGGAGCGGCTTCGCTTCCTCATGTACGAGTTCTTCGCCCTGCAGTTGCGATACGGGTTTGTCTACTCCTTCTACTGGATCAGCTCGGAGGCAAACTACCTGGCGGACGACCTGTCGAGAGGCCGCGAGGCGGAGTTCCTCGCGAAGGTTGATGAGAGCGGCTTCCTGGCTCCAGGCGCTTTCCTGCAGAGGAGCGCCAGCGCGGGCAGGGAGCGCGCGCTGCCGGAACGCCGCCGTGCCTTTGAGGATGTACCCGAGCAGCCCACGCGGGCGCCCCCCCCTGTTCGCCGCGGGCGGGCAGTAGGGCGGACGTGGATCACGCTTTGCCTTTTTGTCACGTGCGTGGTCGAGCAGACTGAGGCCGTCACCCCTCTCGCAGTCCATGGCGGCCTTCCCCTTGTGGCGGTCATCCTGGGCGCCATCATAGCGGTCGGCGGCGTCATTCTCGGCGCGTCCCTCCCCGCAATCGCGCGGGCCGGACGGGCATGGGCGGCGGAGGGCGGCGCAGCGCGCGCCCAAGCGCCCCCCGGGCGACAGCAGCAGCGCCGCAGGCGGGCTCATGTCGCAGGGGCCGTCCGGGCCGCGGCCCGCCCAGGCGCCACGCGTACGCAGGGCGAACATGGGGACAACGATCCTCTCCATGTGCCTTCTCTGTGGCTGTGCTGCCGCCCCCGGGGACGGAGGTGGGCATCAGCCCTTCACGAGGTCGTCCGTCTTCCAGGGCCTCCCGTGCCGTTGGGTGCGACCGGTGGAGAGCGTCTTTGACAACCGGCTGGCGCCGTCGTCATGGCGTACGGTGAATGCGGCCATGAAGTACTGGAAGGAGACGTGTTTGCAGTACGGCTGGTCGGTCATCATCTACACAGACGACCCCGAGAGGGGCGGAAAGCTTGCCGCATGCGTAATGTCGATGGTCGTGGACACGAAGCTTGTCTTCGGCTCGATCGAGGGCTACGCGTGGGGCATCTGCACGTGGCAGCAGATGATGCACCAGGCAGATCCACGTCTTGGCGTCGTCGATTGGACCATGTTCATGGCCGGGGT